CTCCCCAGAGGCTCCCGAGAGCCCTTAGAAGAGACCCCCCCAAGAAGCATCCATGAGGAATTTGACCCACAACCCCGGTACGCCTCGAAACTCTGCTGGAACTCTCTTGAGCCATCTTGGCGCCCTGTACTGCTCGGCTCTCTTCGACAGGCTGCGAGCCACATCTCCCAGGATCTCCTCGAGGGCAATCCTGCCTGCCCTACCGTTCCCAAGAGGCACGAGCACACCACCATGCAGCCACCGTGATGCGGAATGGGCCGGCGGCATGAGCGAAGCGATTGCCGAAATTGAGAGGAAGTCTCCGGCGAAGCGGCTGCCAGACTGGGCGGTCTCGCGATCCCCTTCCCCCCTGTGTGGGACTCCTCTGTGGTCCTTGCTTGCCCCTCCAGGAGAAGGCGATGCAAAGAGAAGACGATAAGCGCCACTCCCTGACCTCTGGTGGGGCGCGTGCTGACCAGGAGTCCGAGGCGAATGCAGCCGCGGCGGCGAGGAATTGGGAAGAAAAAATACACAACCATGAACTCTCGGCGCTGCGCGCGGGCCTCTGACAGTGTCTGCTCCTGCCGGCTTCTTCTTCTTCTTCTTCTTCTTCTTCTTCTTCTTCTTCTTCTTCTTCTTCTTCTTCTTCTTCCTCGAGGGCAGTGGGATCGGCGAGGCCTCCTGGATGGCGTCCGAGCAGACAGGATCGGAGGATCGCGCCGAATCGCCGATGCGTCAGCGATGCCGCGATGCATCGGCGATGCGTCCGCGACACCGGCGATGAATCGGCGATGAATCGGCGCTGTCGGCGTGGAGGAATTCTGGCTCCACATCGAGCCGCATCGCCGATGCATCGGCGATGCCGCGCGATCCTCCGACCCCATGCACTCCGACCCATCTGGGAAGCCCAGAGAAGACTAGCACGCTGCCCGAACTGGGTATGGAACAAAATCGGTGTGATACCCAATAACAAACATTATCCAAAGCCGACGGCGGCCGCTGTTGGGCAGGCGACCTCCTGTCTCAAACGGACAGCGCCCGCCGCGACACCGTCAGCGAGTCCTGTCCAAAATGAACAGGAACTGCTGTTGGTCTTCGTTCCCATCCTTGCGGTACCCATTTCGATCACACGGATCCTCCTCTAGAATTAGGTCGGGCGTGTCTTCCTACAGGCGGATCTTGGACGAACCATAAAACAGAGTCGAAAAATATTCAAAAACAGCCGAACGTGATTCGAAAAATCGTCCCCAGACTATTGTTTGACTATCTTTGAATGCTCATCATGTAGAGGGCTAGGCCCGACTTAACTGTAGATAACCAGCACGCTGCCGTCGTCGCGGAGCTCGAGCACGAGACTCACGCGAGAGGTCACCGAGAGTTTTCCGAGGGCCACATGCCCCCAGGAAGGCAGAGGACAGGGGTCGCGAAACACAGGGCACAGGGGCACTCTTGATCTGGAAGGGCCGACCTACGAATCAAACTCGACTGCAGGGGCGCATCGGCATCGGCTCCTCCTCTAGAACTGACTACCTACCAGACCACCCCAACCCAACCCGAAGACCCGAACTTCGGGTTGGGGGGGTACGGGCTTCATGTGTGTGTTTTTCAATGTTCGCCGACCCCCCCCCCCTGGAAATGGAGGGCAAATCGGGGCAGTCGGGTTGGGTTGGGGTGGTTTGGCGGTTGGTGAAGAAGAAAAGAATATCAGCCAGCGTTGACTCCAAATAGATAGGAGGACAGGAGGAGGACGAGAGAAGGATGGGAGGAGGACGAAAGGAGGACGGGAGCAGGACGGGAGGAGAACGGGAGGAGCAAACTCAAGCAAGCGCAAGCAAGCAAACGGAAGCAAACAAGCGCAAGCGAGCAAAAACAAGCAAGCAAGAGCCAGCGATCAAATGCAAACAAGCAAGGGCAAGCAAGAGCAAGCAAGCGAGAGCAAGCACGCAAGAGCAAGAAAGCAAGTGCCATTGGAAAAAGGGGGGCCATTGGAAAAAGGAGGGGGGCATTGGTAAAAGGGGGGGTCCTAACGACCAACTATTTATGATGAGCTAGGACTCCTATAGGGCAAGCCTAGTTGGAGAACAAAAATCGGTCTAAGTATAAGCACAAACGTCTGAAGCTCCGCGCGGTCTGCTCGGATCGCTGGGCCCCCCTACCAGCGCCTCCGGCGCCGCCCCTGGCGCGCTCCGCGCGCCAGGGAGGGGGTCCAGCACCGATCCAAGAAATCCGCGCACAGAATTCCGACAGTTCGCGCTTACGCCGTGCTCTTCCTCTTCGACAGAAGACCAGCACGCTGCCGTCGTCGCGGAGCTCGAACACCGCATGGCCCTCCAGCAGGCCGACCCCGAGCGCGGCGTCGAAGACGAACTGGGCGCCCTCGCACGCCGCGGAGAAGGTCGACGGCCTCACGCCGCCGTCCCTCGCTCCCGGCTGGGCCTACCGGCGGCGAGCCCCAGGGGAAGTGACCGAGAGGCTCAGCAGAGGGCCGAACATCCACCCCGACGAGAACCACCCCGACACGCGAGGCCTTTCGTAAGCGCACCCAGGGGAGGAATCGGAGAGGGCAGGGCTGTTCAGTAAACGCCCAGGGCCGTCCAGTGAACGCCAGTTGTCGGGTCCGGGTGGTTTCTCCTCCCTTGATTCCGGCTTTTAACGTTTTCGTCGGTTCCCGTCGGCTCTCCAACCTCGGGATCGCCGAGGGAGTTCCAAGGGAGGGGTCCCAGATCGCCCGAGCGGCCGCCGGAGAGCCGAGCTATAACCCAAAAACCATCAGGCGTCCGAGAGGCTGGTCGGCCGGGGGGGAATGAGCAGTTTTGCTTTTGCCGCGATAGTGTTAGGTCGGGAGTGTCCTCCTACATATGGGTTCTGGACGAAACATATCTTAACGATTGTCTTAATACTATAAAACAAACAATCGTCCCCACACTAGTTGCTATACTATTTTGGAAAATTCCTCCTGTAGAGAGACACGCCCGACATAAGTAAGCATCATGTTCGGGAGGCGTGAAGGTGGTTGGGAGGAGAATCGCGTTCAAACGGCTCCTGGAGGTCCGCTATTAAGCCCCGAAAAAATACGCCCCCCCGCCCCCGCCGGGTGGATCCCGCACCACGGACTGTGACACTGGACGCACCGCAGCAGCGCTGGGGACGCAATAGGAGGTGGGGAGAGTCACGTTATTCGGGGATGAACAGACCCCCCTTTAGCAAAACGTGGTTTAATGAAAACGACCTGAGGCCCAAACCTGGCGGGCGCAAGCCTGGAAAATAACGGCCACGGCACCCTCTCGAGAACCGAAAAGGGGCAATTCACGAATCGGCGTGCCACTGTGGGGGGTTCTGTCCACCCCCGAGTCATCGGGGGGGGGAGGGGGAGGGGAAGGGGGGGGCATCGTAAGACGTGGCGCAGAGGGACCTGCCAGCACGATGTGCAGATGCCGGGGACGCACCTCTGACGCTGACGCGCATAGCACTTTTTTGGTCTGCGGGTCGAGAGCGAGCCTCTTCCGGTTAAGAGCTAGGCGGGCCGCGCAAAGCACTAATTGGGGAGACAGGGCGCGGGCGGGCGGGGCCTCAGGCGGCCGAAGGGCGCGGGGTGCAGGCGGTGCAGAAGAGCTTGCACAGGAAAAGGTACACCTTGGACAGGAGCCGGTGGCGAAGTCCCAGGGGGTGAGCGGTGCGGTGTTGCCGTCGACGGCGCGTCAAAATCACCACGCGCATAGCACAAGCATCACACAGAGTCGACCGTTGCCCCGAGCGGCACGGCCCGGGAGCGGCCCCGCCACGAGGCTTTGGCCTTGTGCGATCTCCGAGCGTGCGCGTCGCCCGTGCGTGGGCCGACGCAGATGTCGCACTGGAGGACCCCCATCCAGGTGTGACAGAGCGAAGGAGGAGGGAGGAGGGAGGGAGGAGGGAGGAGGGAGGAGGGAGGGGGAGGAGGGAGGAGGGAGAGGGAGGAGGAGGAGGGAGGAGGGAGGAGGAGGAGGAAGGGGGGGGAGGAGGGAGGAGGGAGGAGGGAGGAGAGGGAGGAGGGAGGAGGGAGGAGGGAGGAGGGAGGAGGAGGAGGAGGAGGAGGAGGAGGAGGAGGAGGAGGAGGAGGAGGAGGAGAGGAGGAGAGGAGGAGGAGGAGGAGGAGGGAGGGAGGAGGGAGGAGGGAGGAGGAGAAGGAGAGGAGGAGGAGGAGGAGGGAGGAGAGAGGAGAGGAGAGAGGAGGGAGGAGGGAGGAGAGAGGAGGGAGAAGGAGGAGGAGGAGGAGGAGGAGGAGGAGGAGGAGGAGGAGGAGGGAGGAGGAGGGCGGAGGGAGGAGGAGGAGGAATGATCCGTCGATTGCGCCTCGCCTGAACGTCCGTCGACGTTCTGGCTCAAGCTCTTCTCTGGCCAAAAGGAGCCAGACGCCGGGCGCGCCGGTGCAGGTACCATTTATCACTGCACCGACCTCGCAAACGTGCTGCGGCGGATTTTTGCGTGGGTTCCTGTCGATGCAAAGCCCCGAAACGGCGAGTGAAAAACGAAGTGAATTTCGCGTGGATCTTGTTTTGTCTTCGTTCCTGGCCAAAGAAATCCGCACCGGAATTCACCTCGAAATTCGGAACGAAACTCTCCAGAATAATCGGGGCCCATCCCATGGTTTTCTGACAGACGTCCGCTCCGCGATGTGGGCGCCAGGCAACGTCCGTCGACGTTCTGGCTCAAGCTCTCCTCTGGCTAGAAAGGAGCCAGACGCCGGGCGCGCCGGCGCGCACGTGCCACATTCATTTCTCGGGGAGGCGAAGGCGGGCTCCGCAGCGCTCGCGTCTGACGCCGTCTCCGCTGCAGCCAACCCCGCGAGCCGCTGCGCGCTCGAGGAGAGCTGTCCATCGGGTCCAACTGCCTTCAGGTCGGGCATGTCCCCCTACAAGGCAGATTTTGGAAGGGAAGATGAGGGGTCCCAGAGCTTCCCGGAAGGCCGAAGGCCTTCTGAGCCTTCTGCGAAGGCCCGCCGCCCCCCTCGCTTCCCCCCCAGGCTCGCCGCCGCGCCTGGACCGTCAGGAGCGGCGCCGTCTCCGGAGGAAGAAAAGACGGCAAATGAACGCAAACGTTCGACGGCCCGCGAGGGCTCCCTGGATCCGCGCGGTGCCCCCCCTGCCCCGGCGCGCGGAGCGCGCCAGGGGGGTCCGGCACAGGCCCGCGGGGTCCGCGCGGGCCGTCGAGAGATTGTTGTGCCTTCTGCCGCTTTGCTCTTCCTCGCGTCTCGCCGAGGGTCACGCTCACCGCGGACGTCCTGTAGGAAAGGTGCGGCCAGGGCCGCAGCTGCACGGCCACCACCACGGCCTCGTATTAGGTCGGGCATGCCCTCCTACAGGGGGATTTTGGACGAAACATAAAAATAGTCAAGAAATACCCCCAAATGGTCAAAAATACTGAATATTCCTCCTGTAGAGGGACGTGCCCGACTTAAAGCCTCGTAGCTCGTGCCGTTGGCGGTGGCGGTCACGCGGCACAGGCCTCCCGTCTGGCTGCCCCGCGAGTCGTGCACGGCGTCGCCGGCATCCTCTTGGAGGAGCAAGAAGCGGCACGAGTGTATACTGTCGGAGCTCCTCGCCTCCACCCATCCTCCTCTTTCCCCTTCCCCCCCTCCCCCGTCTGAGATGGAGAGACTCGTTGGATGCGTGAGCGGCCTTCCATGCGTGCGTTTCACTTGGTGCATCTTCCTGCTTGCCATAAGCACGTCTGCCCCGCAGGGGACCGCTCTGGCTACCGGAGCCGGCACGCAGACCTCCTGTCCTCGCCTGTCCCCTCCCCCGTCCCCTCCCTCCACTCGAAGAAGACGCACCGCACAAGCAGAAACTCTTGGAGGTCCGCGCGGATGTCTGGGATGGGCGCTGCGCTCCCCTGGCGGCGCCACCGACGCCGCCCCCAGCACGCTCCGCGCCTGGGAGGGGGATCCTGCGCCAGTCCAAGACATCCTAACCGACCTCCAAAAGTTGATGGTTATGCCCCTTTCTATGTCTTCGAATCCTGGAAGGCCACGGCCTGCTTTCGAAGAGCTCCACTGGTCTTGTCGACATGCAGCCAGTTCACCTCGGGGACGCACTGCACATTGAAGTCCTTCGGGCGCACATGCGGCGAGACATGTGCGAAATTACTGAGACAGAGACAGGGACAGAGACTGACAGACGTGTTATACACTTGCTCGCTGGATTACTATTTCGCTGAGCAGTTAATGCTGCAGCTGTACTGCAGCCGCTACAACCGCTACGATAAATGGTTCTTCTTAGCGGGCATGCTGCAATCACGACATGCACAGCGCACGGCGGTCGACCAAAGCTTTCTGCATAGCAAACCCTTGGGCTCGGAAGGATTGTGGGATTGGGGAGATTCGGGTGTCAAGCATGCGTTTCAACAGAAAACGCTTAGGTTGAGAAGGATTTGGGGGGCAGGACGGATTTTTACAAGGAAACCCCTGGGCTGGGAAGGATTTTGGGGCTGGGACAAAAGCAAAGCAGATGACGCCTTGGTTGGAAAGGATTTTGGGGTCACAGAGGACTTTGCACAGAAGGCGCTTGGGCTGGGAAGGGTTTTGGGGCTAGCAATGGTTCTAGTAAGGAAACGCTTCGGCTGGGAAGGATTCTGGGGCAGGGAGGGGTTTTACGCAGAAAACCCTTGGGCTGGGAAGGATTTGGCAAGTATGACGGATGTTACACAGGAGCCGCTTAAGTTGGACATGAGTTTGGGGCTGGGAACGGTTTTGCATAGAAAACGCTGGGTCTGGGAAGGAGTTGGGGGCGAAGCAAACTTCTCTCGCGGAAGACCCCTGGGCTGGGAAGGACTCTGGAGCCGCAAGGAATCTTCAGAAACGACTCCTGGCTGGCTTCTGTTGCTTGTGCTGCGGCCGGCCCTCCCTGCTGGGCTCAGGTCGGGCATGTCGTCCCCCCACAGGGGGGACAGGCCCGACTTGAGGCTGGGCGCCCTGTCATTCCGAAGGGCGAGGGGCAGGAGGGGGAGCTGGAGCGGCTGGGGCGCCCGCCACGGGGATGCGGGGCCAGCCTGCGGCGGCCGCCGCGGGGGGCGCTGACTTCGTGCTGGGCGGGCGCCGTGCTGCTCCAGCGGGGCGGCACCATACAAAATACTCCGACGGCAGGACCCCACGCGAGCATCTCTTTTGCGGGCCCCTCGCACTTTGTCTTCTTCGACTGACGGAGGCCTGCCTTCCGCCCTCTGTGTCCTCCTCCTCCTCCTCCTCCTCCTCCTCCTCCTCCTCCTCCTCCTCCTCCTCCTCCTCCTCCTCCTCCTCCTCCTCCTCCTCCTCCGCCTCCTCCTGTCTCCAGCGAGGCGGCACTGCACCGAAAAACAAGACGAGAGCGCGGGGGGGCGAGTCAGGCACTGGGCGAGACAGGTTTCCAGCAGCGGTGGGTCGAGCAAGCGTGCCGTGCCCGGAGTGCCCAGAGCGCCCGGAGGGGCAGAGGGTGCTGGAAGTGGGAACGCGCCGGCTCCGCAAAGAACGTTAAGCTTAGGGATGATTTTGAACAGAAAGCCCTCGATCGGGAGCGGCCAAGAGGGGGGGGTCCAAGAGGGGGGGGTGCAAATCATGACCGGCGGCATGTGCGCGGCCCAGCGGGGGGGCCAGGGACGTAATGAAATAAGAAGGGGCGCCGTGAAATCTGGGGAAATACCATGGCCCCCGCCATGATATCCACCCCCCCTGGTCATCACCCCCCTCTTTTCCGCCCCCGATTAGGAATGATTTTGAACAGAAAACCCTCGAGCCGGGAAGGATTTTGGGGCTAGGGCGGATTTTACACCGAAAACGCCGGGGCTGAGAAGGATTCCAGGGCCGGGAGCGGTTTTGAAAAGAAAGCCTGGGGGCGGGAACGGCTTGGGGGCCAGGAAGGATGTCGCACGGAAAACGCTCGGGCTGAGAAGAGTTTCAGGGCGATGGAGGACATTCAACAGAACACCCTCGGCCCGGAAAGAATTCGGAACGCAGGAAGGATTTTACACACAAGACGCAACGACTGGGAATAAGTCTAGAGCTGGGAAGGATTCTGAACAGAAAACCCCTGGCTGGGAAGAAGTTGGGAAACAGGAAGGGTTTTAAACATAAAACGCATGGGCTGGACAGGATTCTGGGGCCAGCAATGATTTCAACCAGACAACCCGCGGGCTGGGAGGATTCTTGGGCCAGGAAGGATTCGAAATAGAGAACGCTATGGCTGAGAGGAATTCTGGCGCCAGGACTGACGCCGAATAGAAACCTCAGTGGGCCCGGACGAAGTCGGGCGCCAGGCATGAGATTAAAAAGAACACGCGCTGGCTGGGAAGGACTTCTGGGTCCAGGAGCGGATTTTGAACAGAAAACCCCCAGGCCGGGAAATAGTTCGTCGAGAGTGCGAATTCGAGTCAGAAGCCGCTTTGGCAGGGAAGGATCACGGAGCGAGGAAACTCGCCGAACAGGAAACCAATGGGATGGAAATGATTCTGCGGCTGGAAACAATTTTGCACAGAAAAGGCCTGGTCTGTAACGGATTTTGCTGCCACGGCGGAGTTTAAACATAAAACGCTCGGACTGGGAAGGACGCCGGGGCTAGGAACGATTTAAAACAGTCAACGGTTGGGCTAAGAAGGACTCTGGAGCCAGGAAAAATCCGCCGAGCCTTCGGGGTCACGGCGCGTGAGATGCTTCCCCCTTCCCAAACCCCTCCCCTGGGAGTCCCGTCCAGCCGGTTTTGGGGGAGGGGGAGGGGAGGGGGGGGAGGGGGGGGGGAGGGGGGGCAAAAGTGCCAGCCGCACCCTTGGAGCCTCAGGGGGGCCCAAAACGTGCCAAGAGGGCCCCGAAAGGCCCCCCGGACGGTCCAAGAGGGCTACAAGTCGCCAAAAGATCCCCAAGACGCCCCAAGAAGCCACCAAGAGGCGTCCCAAGAGGCCCTCCAAAAGCAAAAATCGTCCCATTCCCTAGTGGAAAACGTTTACCATTTGCACATTCGCCTCTTGGGCTTTCACGAGACCCACAACGGCCCAAGAAGCCGTCAAGATCGACCCAAGATAGCACAAGAGGCCCCCAAGAGGGCTCCAAGACGGCCCAAGAGAGCCCCAAGACGGCCCCAAAGCCTCCGAAACGGCCAAGGAGGGCCCCAGGACGGCCTCAAGAGGAGGCCCAGAGGGGAACCCGAATGGACATGTCGAGCACTCGGCCCCGAAAAAACCAGAGGAGGCGCCAGGAGGCCCCCAAGAGGCTCCCACGAGGCTCTCGAGAGGCCCACAAGAAGCCCCTAGAGGCCTCAACACGGCTCCCAAGAGGCCTCAAAAGTGCTGCCAGCAGAGCCCAGAGAAGCCCAAAAGCGGAGTCGCGATCCGCCAACCGCCCCAGACGAAATCCCAGGAGCTGAAACCCCAAGATTCCCCAGAAATCGCCCGCGCTCCGCAAACTCCGTTTCTCACTCTTACTGCCGCCCCAAGGGGGTCGGCGGTGCGGCGTCAGCCCATGAATTGGAACAGAAACCCCCTGGGCTAGAAATGATTCGGGGGTCAAGGAAGATTCTCTCTCTTCCCTCAAAGGAACAGAAGGCTGGCGAAGGACCCATGCACCGTCGCTGCAAGCACCGTCGCCGCGCGCACCGCCGCCGTGAGCACCGCCTTCGGTTGATCCCCTGCTAGGGGCGCGCAGCGCGTGCAGGGCGCGCCGAACTCGATGCGCCTGCTTCGCGCCGCCACTGCCATACGACGGGGGCAGCGACTGTTGCACTACAAGCACTTGTATCAAGTCGGGCGTGTCCCCCTACAGGGGGATTTTCGACGATAAATAACAAATGCTCCAAAAATACTCCAACATAGTCAAAAAAATAGTCTGGGGACTATTTTTCGACTATTTGTTGACCATTTTGGAGCATCTTTCGAATATTTTCTTCCGCCCAAAATCCCCCTGTAGGGGGACACGCCCGACTTAACACTAGTACCTTGCAAGACTGCAGACCTCGGCGCGCAACAGCGCCCGTCACCCCGCGCAGCGCGCGTCGGCGACTCCCGCGGGACAGCACGCAGCGCGCGCGCGCGCGAGCTGACAGCGCGATTTCCGAGCCGAAGGGTCGTAGAATCGAGTTGTTGTTGGAGGCGAGCACAAGGGGGTAGGGGAACAGGGGGGCTTCTAAGAAGGAGGCCGCTTCTTGGAAGGCCCTGGCCCTACATCTCCAGACTAGGCCCGCGCCTCCTGAGAAGCAGGGGTGCTCCTGAGAAGCCTTCCCCCCTCCCCCCACGCCCTCCTGCGCGTGGCTGACTTTGCGGCGCGCGCCCCCGCCCCCTGCCCGAGAGCTCGCGCCGGGGGCAGGGGCGCGGCAGCGTGGCGAAGACGGCCGCGGCCCCGCCCCCGCGCGAGTGCCGCTGCGCGGCGGGCGGGCACCCGCGGGCGCGGCCCACCCGCCGCCCGACGCCCCGCCACCCCGAATCCCGGCAGGACTCCCTCCCCCGCTGGCCGTCCCCCCGCGACGTCGCAGCCGACTGCCGTCGACGCCGACTGTCGTCGGCGTCGGCGGCGCCGCCGCGAGCGGCGCCGTGGTCGTCGCCGCCCCCCTGCGGCGCAATCGCCGCCGCCGCCGTCGCCGCCACCGCCGCGCCCGCCGCCGTCGCCCGCGCCGCGGCGGAGGCCGCCGCGGCCGCGGCCGCGGGAGGCACCGCGGCGGAGGGGAACCATGGCGGCACGCCAGCGTCGCGGGTGGCCCGCGCGCGGGCCAGGGCCACCCGAACACCGAGCGAGGAAAGCTCACTGCTCCGCTTGCGCGGCGCGCTGAGGGCCGCTGGTCAGGCGAGCGGCTCCAGGGAGGCGCTTCGGGAGCGGGCGCCTGTCATCCTAGGGGGAGGGGGAGGGGGAGGAGGAGGGGGAGGAGAAGGAGGAGGAGGAGGAGGAAAAGAGGAGGAGGAGGAGGAGGAGGAGGAGGCGATGCACCCCCGCCGCGCCGCGCCCGCCTCGCAGGTGACCCACTGGCATTGTGTACGGTCCACCATTGCCACGCTGAGGCGCGGTATCGCACGACCTGCCGCCGCGACAGAAAACCAGAAAAAAGGGAAGGCGCTGCCGCGGACGTCGCAGACGAGAGGACGCGCAGACTGCCCCCGCG